TGATCATATTTAAAGGTAACCTAGTACTTGCTGACTTGCTCCCCCTTTGTTGCAAAACTACGTCTGAATCTCCATGGTTTGTAACTCAAGAAGGTGTGGGGCTGGCTGAGTGGCTCAGTTGGTTAAGAGCTCGCTTAAGAGTTTGAGCTCTAAGCAACAGCAGTTCGATTCCCAGCCCGAGCTGAGCAGCCAGTGAGCTGCCAACAGGTGGCAGGATGGCTCAGTTTAAAAAAAAAGAAAAGAAAAAAGAATGTGTGAAATGGTGAAAATACACGGATTTGGAGTTGGAAGGCTGGTGTTCTAGTCTGAGCTTGACACCTTTTAGCAGTATGACCTTGAAACATTTAACCTGTGCCCTCAATTTAGTGTCTGCAGGAAGAAAGTTTAATCTAATCTCACAAAGCTTTAGTGAGAACTGGGCAAAGTCCGTTTCTTCACCTGATAAATGAGAATCATAGTAGCACTTATTTGATTAGAAGATTAAATAAGATAATACATGTAAAGTGCATAGTAAAATGCTTGGCACAGAGTAAATGCTCAATAACTAGCTATGACTGATGTGCCTTGTATCGTGCTAGGTGTTGGATACAATATCTATCTTGCAGGGTTAACAAGAGATATGTTGGAACAAAAAGCGTGTTAAACAAAGGCAGTCCCTCTCTCCATTTCTGCTGATACCGGGGCACATGTAAGTTAGTAACATGCTGAGTGGAGGCCTGGAGGGGCTGCCCATCTCCTCTCCTCCATGATGGAGGTACCCGCTCCCCCAAGCTCATGGGGGTGCTAGTGGCTGATGCATCTCAGCTGAATCCCTCTGTGGGATTTGCCTTTAGCTGAAGAGAGCTGCCTCACCCAAGGTCACACCTCCTTCGCAGGGCACCAGTGACTTGATCCAATGACTGACATGGGGATATACAGGCTGAGCCGTTAGCCCCAATTCAGGACAAGTCTGCAGGGCCACCCCGGCTCCAGAGTCCCTGAGATCAGCTGAAGCTTTCTAGGCCATTGAAATGCAATTCAACTTCTCCATCTGCCCAATCCTGCGCTTTCAGTCCCCTGAAGGTATTGATCCTGAGAACAGGCCTGCATACAAATCTGACTCTGAGCCTGCCGCCTAGGGAAATGACTTATGACACTTGCCCAAAGTCAAAAAGCTAATGAGAGATCAAAACGGGATTTACTACAGATGTGCCAGCAGAATTCCACAATTATAAAATGAGCAGAAGGGACCACGTAAAAGGATGAACCCAAAGACCTAGAAGGTAACACTGTAAATAATGCCCTAAAATATTGTAATAACGCTTCATTTTGTGGAGCCAAATAAAAATGAAGACTCTCTCCTGCAGTCGGGCTGATGCGAAATGAGAGCATGATGGAGCAGAAAATGGGAAGGTTATGAAAAAGGTGCATTTTCTGGGATGCCTTCTATTTCACTTCAAAAGCAGACTAACTGGACAGAAAGGGACTTTCAAAACAGTAGTTCTTGCCTTTTATTTTATTCAAGAGGAAACTGCGACATGGAGGGATACTTTACTTACCAAGGGTACAAGGTAACAGAGTGGCTGAGCCTAGGCCTCCTAATCGCCAGCCTTTCAGCTTTGTCTTCAATAAGTGATTTTGACGTTTTATGTAAAGTGTAACACCCACAAAAGATTCATATATATTCAAATCTAAGTATAAAATGTATTATAAAACTAAACGTGAGGGAAAAGTGTCCCATCAATGTGGATAACTGGGATTTGACTAGGTTAGGAGTTTTCACAGAATGGCTTTACAGAGAAGGTCAGAGTTCACTATCTATACCTCTAACTACATTGGCAATTAAAGTTCATCAAATATTGTATCTTAATGGCCTTATCTCAAAATGAGGATAATAATTATTATCTCATTCAATAGGATGCCATAGAGGCTAAATATTTAATGGCACCAATACATTCTAAATGCCACATAAACAAATAACATGAAAACACATAGAGCAACTTCTAAAAGGTTAACATTATAACTGGTTCATTCTATACAGAACTGATTGAAAAGAGCCTAAGTAAGACACAGACCATTTAGACATCTGTTTCCAACCAGGGGAGCAATATTTAAACTGATAAATATAAATTTAATGAAAACATCCCAATTCAAATAAGAAATGTCTTGAAAACCCCTATGGTGGGTAAATTTACCACAAAATCTAAGACCTTTGATGAAACAGTAATGAAATGGGAGTTAAAAGCAAACACATGATTATCTTTATAATATTTTATAATTATTAAAATAAAACATGGCAGCCATAATAAATGAGGAAACTATCGAGGACATTTGACACATTTTAAACTGATAGGTACTAACTATATCATTCATTTTTATATATTAGTTTTTGTTTTCTAGAAAGCATTTAGAATCCGTCTTATGGTTCAACAAATAATCATGAACTTAATTTGCTAAGAAGCATTCCCTTCTGCCCTTTGCACAACTAATCTTATCCAAATTGCTCAAAGACAAAACTTGGCTCTAAAACACTTACATATTTTACATGTTTGGGTATATTTTATTTACCTTGCTTGGAAAGGAGGCACCTTGGATAGGAGGCACCGTGCAAAGCCCTCCCTGCAATGCCAATGCAGCTAGGCCCAGGGTTTCCCTCATGTCAGAAACAGGCCTCAGGATCCCACTGCGTGTGGTTTGGCCCCCTGTCTTTTAACAAACTAAACAGCAGGAGTAAGACCCTTCAATTCTTTCATCAATTCTCAAGGCTTCTTTGAAAAATTTCTATTTCTACTCTGCCACAGCTCTTTAATTCCCTTTTCTCCTAACCCATTTCTTCTTTTTCTAGTTACAGCAGTGGTAATTTGCAGATGAAGATATTATAGTTAAAAGATAAGACATATAGAGGCAAAGGCATGAATGTCAGACTTTTATATAAAGATCAATTGTGGTTAGAAAACGGGTGATAATAGTACTAGTCTAGGTAACTAAAATAATGTGGTATAAACTAACCCACCTAGCAACCAGCCAATGGCTGGGGTGGAATCAGTCACCAATTCATTAATGTATCATGTTCCTATATTTATATATAGATACTTCTAGTGAGCTATGGGAAAATTGCAGAGAAACAGCCTTTATATTCACTTTCCTTGCAGAAAAGTATAAAATATAAGAAAACACTATTTAGGAATTATACAAAACATATTGGACTAAATTAGTGGTTGTCAAAATAAGTAACCCCCTTCATGTGGGAATATCTTAAGACTTCTCACAGACTAGATCTAAAAGCACAAAGAGTTTTAAAAAAACAGTGAATTTAAAGGAACTAATTTCTGGATGCTAAATATGCAAATAACCACCTTCCCTAAAACTTTGAGGGTTGAAATTATCTCTCCTCAAGGAAAATTATCAAAGAGGTAAGATTTCTGACTTTTAAAGGAAAGTCTGTCATGTATTTTTAAGAAATGGATGATAATGGATATCAAGTAATTATGGGAAATATTCTACTGAATATATTAGAAAGAACAACCATAGTTCACTTTTAAATGTCAATATTCACAATATCCTCAAAAGGCATGAGTTTTCAGGTCACAGCAGCTTGAGTTCAAACTAAGGTTTACCACTTTTTGGCTGAGTCACTTTGAAGAAATCTTATTTTCTATTTTGAGGATCAAATGAGGGGCTACAAAAGGAAGTGCTTTTTAAATTACAAAGTGATAGCACAGGTTCGTCATTAAGCCCTTCGCAACTAGGAACAACTGAACAGTAGCAATTCTGCATAATGGTCCAAAACATGAGCTCTGGAACCAAAAGATGGCGCTGAGACAAACACTGCCATTTCCTAGAGGTCTGATCTCAGCCAGGTTAACTAAATGTTTCTGTGTCCCACTAGCCTAGGTGTATAATGAAGATAACTGTGATACCCACTTTATAGGGCTACTATGTGGATTAAGTGAGTTAATACATGTAAAGAGCTTAAAATTGTGCTCAAAAGAATTGGTTGCTTTGTTATTGCTGCTGGTGGTATTGTTATTATTACCCTCTGATTCTCAGTGTAAAAGAGAGATGAAGAGATTGCCAACATGAATAAATATGTTGCTTACAAGACAACACAAGGAGAAGGGCAGCTAAGTCTGTAACAGGGCTTTAATAATAAAAGTCATTAATGTAGCTCCTTGGTTTCACAGCAAAAGTAAGTGACAGTGATCCAGTGAAGTTCTCTGCTGTCATAACTACCAAAGTAACATCTCTTTTTCCTTTGCTTAAAGGCCAAAAACCTAAAAGAACACATTGCAATTTGCTCTACAAAGAATATCTTGTGATGTACTCAGTAGGATTATTTGGTCCTTAAGATGACAGAATGCTAGAAATGATTCTGCAATATGGCAGGAACATTTTGACCTCACATAAAAGAATTCTAACACCGAAGTACCAAAAGACATCATTATAAAATACTTGTACCTATTATTAACATACCAACCACAGAACCGAAGCAATATGACATAGCCCTTTGAGCTATGATTGTAATTTTTTCGTCATTTAAAAACTGTTATTGGAATATTTTTTAAATTAGAAGTAATTCATAACTCCTCATTCATGCTCTTTAAAATGTGTATATTTTAAAGAAAAATTTGGCGTTCCACCTCTACCCCTGACTTATCAAATAACATTGAAGACAAGTTGCATAATTTTTCGGAAATTATTTTATAAGTTAAAAGTTTTAACTTAAAGCTAGATTTCATAAATTCTGAATAAAATCTTGACCCAAATGTGAAAACGCAAAGCTCAAAAATGTGTTAGTTTCAGAAAAGCATTTAAAAGACCACATTTTAACTTTTAAAAAGAAGTTCGGGTAACTATAACATAGTTATAGGGTAATGTGTCAAACCGATTCTACTGCTTTCTAATAATCATTTAAGCATTCTATTTGAGTTAGGACTCAGGATATGTTCAATATTCTTAGATTTTTGTTAACAATATGTATTGAGAAGCAATAAATCAGCATTAGGAATTTTAAAACTTACAAGTATGTCTGGCCAGTGAGTAGTTGGATCCACCGCTAGTCAAACCAAATCCCTCAGGAATTTGACTAGAGCTTCGAGGTCTGGTCAACAGTTTAGGAGGTTCAATTTCAGCACCAAATTCAGCTCCTATTACTCCTAGTAAAACTATAGCAGTAGCTTGTTTCCGTCTTTCCTCGTACGATGTGGAAATTTTTTTCATTTGTGGGACAGTTGATAAGCAACCTGAAAATCAAAACATAAGATCATAAATTAAAAGACTATCAATATAAAAAAGACATATGATTAGAAAACATTCCAGATTGCTCTTTCAGGAAAGAATAGTCATTTCAACAAATGGCACGGGGACAACTGGTTATCCACATGCGAAGAAAAGAATTTGGGCTTCTTCCTCTCACCATGCAAATAAATAAAATCAAAATGAATCCTAGCCCTAAATATTGGGTTGTCAGAAAAATCATGACATATTTTTTCTGTGTTTTTCATTGCAAAACTGCATCATGACTTTTCTGACAACCCAATAGAAGAGCTAAAACTAAAGAACTTGCAGAAGAAAACAGACATATGTTTTTATGATCTTTGGTTAGGCAATGATTTCTTAGACATGATACCAAAAGCACAAATAATTTAAAAATATTTTTTAATTAGACTTCATCAATATTAAAAATTTGCACTTCAAATGACAGTATCAACACACAGACTTAGAGAAAATATTGTCAATCATACATCAATAAGGGATTGCATCCAGAATATATCTCTCACAACTCAATATTAAGAAAACCCAGCTTTTAAAATGGGCAATTTGAATAGATATTTCTTCAAAGATATATGAATGGCCAGTATGCACATTAAAAGATGCTCAACATCATTGGTCATTAGGAAAATGTAAATCAAAACCACAATGAGATACCACTTCATGTTCACTGGAGTGGTTGTAATAAAAAGGACAGACCATAAATAACGTGATTTTGAGGTTGTATGGAAATTGAAACCCTTGTGCATTGCTGGAGGAAATGTAAAATGGTATCACTACTTTGGAAAATAGCTTGGCAATTCCTCAAAAATGTAAACATAGAGTTACCACATGGCCCAGCAATTCTACTCCTGGGTATCTACCCAAGAGAAATGAAAACAAAAGTCCACACAAAGACTTTACCTGAATGTTCACAACAGCATTGTTTGTAATAGCCAAGAAGTGGAAAAAAGGTCAAATGTCCATCAACTGATGAATGGATAAACAAAATGTTTATCCGTATATCCGTAAAATAAAATATTGATCATCAATAAAAACTAATAAAGTACTAATACTACTGCAAGATAGATAACCTTGAACACATTATGCTAAGGGAAAGGTCCTCACAGAGCACCACATATTGTATGAGTCCATTTGCATGAAACATCCAGAACAGGCAAATCTATAGAGATAGAAAGTAGGCTAGTGATTGCCTAGAGCTAGGCCAGAGGTGAAACGGTCAATGGTGGCTTATGAGTACTAGATTTTTGAGATGATGAAAATGTTCGAAAATTAGGTTATGGTTATATCGGCACAATTCCAAATATACTAAGAATCAGTGAATTCTACATTTTAAAAGGGTAGATTTTATGAAATACAAATTATAACTCAATAAATCTCTTTTAACAAAAGACTGCTCATTAAACTCATTTATTAATTTGCTCACTAATTTAATAAATATTTATTGAACATCTACTTTGGGCCAGAGAATTGCAAACATAAAAATAAATAGTCCAGGCTCTCAAGATGTTCGGTAGTACATGAAAAAAAGAGCACCTGTTCTTAAATCCTGAATTGAAGACTCGAAGGATAAGTAGAAGTTTGCCAGACAGTAAGAGGGGTGGGCAATATGAGAAGGCAAAGGGTGAGTATTTCATCTGGATGGACCAGAATGCAGAAGCACACCTGGCATTGGCAGAAGTACTTATAACCAGGACAAAGCTCAACAGAATTTCATATTCATCATGATAATGGAAAACAACTTTAAATCTTTATTAAAGTATCAATACATAGGAGGTAATTAGAGGAACTACACGCCTAACACATAACACTGCTTCAAGTTTCTTTCCCCAACCTTTCTCTCAGTAAGGCATACACTTCACTAGCTCTCCCCAAATTCTAAGACTTAGTCCTTTGCTCAGTCTTACCTGCTTTCTAGTTCTGCTCCTTTCTATAAATGGTCTACCTTTCATTTTTTTGCTTGATATTTATTATGTGATTTATAAGCATCCACAGAATTACACAGAGAATATATAAAGAATATCATGCTATACATGCACACAATCAACTTTATATGATCTTAATGTTTTTCTGTAGGTGATGAGTTTCAGATTTTTAAAAGTAATTAACTAATGTGGACATAACTAAAGTCTACTACGGATTGCGTCTTGACTTCACTTCTCCTTCCTCATGCCCCAGATATCACCAAGACCTTGACCTTATCAAATGTTTTCTATCTATTATATAACTATACCAATGTTACCTGAAATGTTATATTTTTTCTGACCTTGAACTATGCTTGCATTCCTGGGATAAACTCTGGATGAAATGATGAGTGGATGGATGAAAGGATGAATAGATGGATGTTGATCAATTAAGCGATAGGTAAGTATGTAGACAGATAAACAGACCAATACATAGACCCTGATCTAAATCTGCTAATAGTTTTTACATTTATGTCCATAGGTGAGATTGGACTACAATTGTCTTTTCATATACTATTCTTGTTGGGTCTTAGTGGCAACATAATACAAGCTCAAAAACTGAGTTATGTAACTTTCTCTCCCCAATTTTTTGAAAACAGTTATAGGATTTCTTGAAGTTTGATGAAAATTTTCCTGTAAAATTATCAGGGCCTGTGTCTCAGAACACTCCTCCCCTGGAGCCAGAAGGCAGGGATGAAGGTGTCTGGGAGGAGCAGGGTGGAGAAAGAAATATTTTAAATTATGAATTCATTTTAATAGTTTATTATTTCATTTGATTTTCTATTTCTTCCAGAGTCACTTCTGACGGCTAATAGTTTTAAAATAATTATATATTTCATCCAAGTTTAAAAATTTATATTGGTATGAAGTTATTTATAATATTCTTTATGATTTAACAACCTCAATTTATCAGGGGCTATATAACCCCCCTTACATGTAGTTTATTTGTGCCTTCTCTAATATTATTTTTTACGCCTTTCTTGGTCAGTTTTGCTAGAAATATATTTTTCAGATTTTCCACACACACACACACACACACACAAAAGAAACTTTGGTTTTGTTCTTATTGTTTCATTGCTCTCTGTTTCACTAATTTTTGCTGTTATTTGTCCTGTTGCTTCTTCCGCTTTAAGGTTTTCTATTCTCTTTGTTTTGTTTCTAGGTTCTTAGGTTGAACACAATTCACTTATTATTTGCTGTTATGCTGAACATTGCCGGTCACATAGTTAACACCATTTTCCTCTTCTTTTTTAATAATACCACCTCGATTTTAACTGAGTAGCAATGTACTCCGATCCTTTCAGTGTCCTTCCAGAAACTGAGGAAGCCAAAGCCTAGTTGCTGGCTTGTGGCTTATTCACGACATATTTTAAGTCTTCTTTGCTCATAAGAGCCAAACGCCCGCTTCTGGAAAGCATCCAATGGTTTCAGCCCAGATCACTGCATTTCTAGTCCATTACTTGTCCACAGAGATAACGGTCTTTCCTGAGCCTAGTTATGTCGCTTTGATTTTCTATTTGTATATTTTATCCATCAGAGCTATATCTTTGGTACAGAGGGATTTAAAAAGTGAACTTCTGGAGACATCTTGATTGGAGGTCAGTGCTCTGCCCCTAATATTAATCCATCCAGCTTTTCTGGCCTCGTTCAGTACATTGCTCTATACATTAATTGAACCAATATTAAAAAGGGCTCTCAGAATTCAGTATGCCAACAAAGAAATGAGCAGTAGGGGCCTCTGAATACTTTTAGATGCTTTGTTTTATTTTGTCTCCTCATTCTTTTGCTCTGTCACTCTATGTTGTTGTAGGTCAGACAGTCGAAAAGCAACAGGCAAGCTACAGCAGCACCAAACCATGAGGTCTTTGTATGGCAAGCTGAAGAACGTGTAACCTCTGGTGAACGGGAAGCCATTGAACAATTCTGTATAAGGTGGTGACATCAGATTCATTCATTGTTAGAAAAGATCGCGTGACAGTGGCAGTATGGAAGGTACATTGTGAGGTCAAACAAGGCAGGATCGAGTGGATCAAAAGACAACTTGTGCGATGATCCAGTGGAAAATAGTGAGTCCCGGTGATGATAGAAGGTCATTCATTCCACCAGTCATTCAGCAGGTAAAAACTGAACATCTAGTGTACACATGGCGTTATGCTAATATGATTTAATATGAATTAATTGGGATGAGAAAAGCAAAGCCCTGTCCTTATTGAACTTAAAGACTACTAAGCAGAAATTAGAAATGTAAAGGTTACAAAATCAATGAGAACTTTATAGACTGAGAGAACAGTATGTTTAAGACTCTAAAGCATGAAGGAATTTGTTGATTTCTATTTCAAGGATAAGTAATTGAGCTGGAACTCTATAAGCCAAGAGGAGAAGGGTAGAAAATGAGGCAAGAGAGGGCCAAGTTATAGATGGTTCTATTGGTCATATTCATATTTCAATTAGTACCCTTTGAACATGGGAAGATACTCAACATAGGGTTTAAGCCACAGAGTACATTTAGGGCTTTAGAAAACCACTCAGAGTTGGATGAAGAATGCTGGAACTGAGGTGATGAGTTAGGAGGCTACTGTACAAATCCAAGCGAGCGATGTAAGCTGGTTTGGTGTTGGGATGTTAAACAGGAGATACGCAGAAGTGAAAAGCTTTAAGATCCACAGTGAGGTCTGTGCAGTGGATGGCAGCACTGCAGGAAGATTTCAGATGTCCTGCCCTGAATTCCTTTAAAAATCCTAATTAACTGAAACAAAAGTAAAACAAAACAAAACCCTTGCAAGAGAGGTAGGTATGGCCTTTCCAGGAGCTGAATTAAAAAAACCTGTAGAGCACAAAGCTTTTAAGTATACGCTTTATTAATTCCATTTATTTAGCTGTAATGAGGCAGAGTAGAATGTGGGCAAGAAGACCTAGTTGAGTCTAAGAAATGGAAATGGTAGGATATTATAAAGATTTTAAGAGTTGGAAAGGAATAACTGAGTAAGGAAGTGGTATAAAGTACTGAA